TTCCTCCTCCTCCTCTCCCTCCTTCCCTCCCTCCCCTCCCTCCCCTCCCTCATCCTCCTTTCCCTCCTCTCCTTCCCTTCCTCTCTCTCTCGCCTCGTCGTAATCGATGATGATGCAGCTTCCAAGTTTCCAGTAAGGCCTTGCAACCCGAACTCTAAGATGTGCGGACAGTGGATCTTAGGCCTGAGATCGAGGGGATCCTTCGAAGACATGCTTGTACCTGTCTCATTGTCCCCCTTCCACTCCACTGACAGCCGCGCAGGTCACCTACTACCACGGGTTTCGCGATGGAGCAGATCAATGGTGGGTCGAGTGACTTCCAACTCCATGCCGTGACTCGTCTGCGCAGCATCCGCATCCTTGGCGGGCCGTGGAAGTTTTCAGTCTGCGCGATTCGATGCGGAGGAGGTCGCTGTGTGGTCTGTGAAGTCAGCTCCAGAGTTACCTTGAACCGGTGTGGGATAGGAGGTTTCGGCAGGTGGACTTCTCCCCTCCCCCTCCCCCCTCCCCATCCCCTTCTTCTTTCCCTTCCCCTTCTCTCTTCCCTTCCCCCCTTCTCTCTCCTCTAGTTCCATTTCTGAGTTCGGTCCTCAACATCCAGCAAGGTGGCAGCAGACTACAAATGCCTCCTCACCGCAAGGTACAAGACAGCGCAGATCCCCAAGATCCATTGCGCCGAGGGAGTTGTGCTGATCCAGAATTCTTCTGCCAACATGAACAAGTACGGTACATCATTCTCCTTTCTTCTATCTGATCGGAGGTTGGTAGTTGCTGCATCGAACAGACAGGTATGTTGAGAGGCTGCGGGGTGAGAGCTCTCGATCATGCGAACCTTCGAATCAACGGAAGGTTCGCGCTCGAGTTTTATCGACCTTTGCTCCTCTCTCCTCCCTTCCTTCCTCCTCCCTTTTCTTCTGCTCTTTCCGTCTCTGACAAACTCCCCAGCACTTTCAGAAGCATAAGGCATTGTGCTCTCTCGATTGGAGGACAAGCAAGAGTAGAAGCAAACTTTTCCATGTTTGACTTGAACAAAGGTGCAACTTGTTACCCCTTCCACCTGCTCCCCGCCTCTCCTCCCTCCTCCCTCCTGCGTTTTCATGCTTCCTGACTTGTGCCCTTTTGCCCTCTGACTGCCCCATCACTTAATGCAGCTGCTGCCTTTGCTGCGTATCCCAAGTCCCCGTACTGCTTTGAAAACATGCGAGAGGAGCTGGAGAATCAGAAGAAGTTGCAACCGGAGGACGAGGAAGAGAACGAGGAGGTGACAAGCTGCGAGGAGAGGCTGAGGTTGAAGACATGTGCAGGAATCGTTCGATGAGGATGTAGAGAGTGTGATGTGGGGCGTCGACAAGGTGGGGAAGGATGAGGAGGAGCAGGATAAGATGACGATGAAGCAGGAGCCGGACACGCGGGCGATAGGAACGACTATGATCCTCAAGGGGAATGTTGTCTACGGGGAGCCGTGGGCCAACGAGACGCGACCCGAGCGACTACGGGAAGGACTCAACCGCTACCTTCCTTCCAAGATGGAAATGCGAGCTTACGAGTGACAGAGAGGAGGAGGAGGTGGTGGTGGTGGTGGTGGTGACGGTGGACGACGACGACTAGGAGGAGGAGGAGGAGGAGGAGAAAGAGGTGTGACGGCAAGACAGCAACCGAGTACAAAGAGCTGCAGAGGTTGGCTCTTGTCAAGACATCCTTCACTGGCTAGAGAACCTCAAGGCTTCTAGAACTCGATCAGCTTGTCCATTCTCAACTCGATCGCCGATGCGGGGAACGGAATTTCAAACTGATAACGACGAGTCAGCATGCAGAGGAGCACAGCAGCTGGGCGACCTCCTGAAGGGTGTTGGGATGCAACATGCCCAAGACTCCCACGACTTCTCCTCTCAGCAGAATGTTGGCACATCTCCCCTCAAAGAAAGCGCCTGCAGCTTCATCAGACTTTCACTTCTCTTGCTCCTGCTCAACTCTCTCGCTGCCCCTCCTGTCCCTTCACTCTCGTTTCCCTCCTCCCAATCATTCTCTCAAGTCGTACCATCACTGGCTTCTACGACAGCGTATCCCTTCTCCTTGTCACGGGGAATGTCTAGGAGGATCATGACGTGGTCCAAGAGTCCGACGATGACCTGCTCCACGTCTCATTCTCCTTCCACTCCTTTCCTCCCCGTCTTCATCTTCTCTTCGTCTTCTCCTCCTGCCCATCTCCCTCCCCTCGCACCTCGAAACCGGACGTCATGCCGCCATAGATCGCGCTAAGGTGTCGTCGGTTGATCGCTCCGACGTCGCTGCGAGAACAAGGATCATGAAATGACTCGGCGATTCGAAATTTACCTCGAGTCGTCCTTGAGAACAACGTCTGTGACTGCAGCACAAAAACATCAGCATAGCAGCAGCAGCAGCAGCAGCAGCAGCAGCACGCTCCCTACTTTCAAACAACTTGATCGGCTTCGGCATCTTCTGGCCGTTCGACAAAGTTTTCAAGGTTCCTGTAAGCAGCTTGTTAGCAAGAAAATGATATCCGCTCGTTCCAGCTGACTCCCTCCCTCCCCTCCCTCCCTCCCTCCCCCTTTCACGCTCGACTGTCTACCAGGAAGCAGCGACGGTCTGCAGATCTCAAACTCGAGGGTCTTGGGGTTGGCGAGCACCACGGCTGTCTTGCCGTCTGCAGTCGAACCTTCAGAGACTTGGAAACCCTCAACCAACGCCACCGTCAGGTCGATTCAGCTTCTCAAACGCCTCCGCGTGCGAGCAGAGGCCGAACGTCAGGATCTCCGTGAAGCCAGCCTGTCAGCAACTCAGAGGCAGCCTCCTCCAACAACCTTCACCCGACCTCCTCCACCTCCCTCCTTGTCTTCTCCTCCTCTTATCTTACCACCACCACCACCGTCTCCTCCTCCTCCTCCTCCTTCGCAGGAATATCACCTGTGCGATCTCTCCTCGTAGAAGATCGGACAGCTTGTTCATGGGCTGCTGCTTTCCCACCTATTGCTTATGGTGAGAGACGGAGGGCAGGGGGGAAGGAGGAGGGTAGAAAGTGAGCTGGAGAAGTCTCACAGTGTTTGTAGGAGGTATTCTTCTGGGGACGTTGTTGTAGCCGTAGGCGATCGCGACATCTTCGGCGATGTCACAGGCCTGCAGGTCAGACGTGTCAAACCCGCAAGAGCTTGTCAAACCCTCGCACCTGAAGGACGTCGTGACGAGTAGGAGGGATGATGCAGTTGAGAACGTTCGAGCTCTTGTCCAGCTCAGCCTTCCGTCATGTCATCCACAACGAGCGCATACTTCACTGACGCACCTTGATCTGCATGCGCCCAAGGAGCTCAATCTGCTTCTCTGCTGAAAGTTCCACACCAACTGCAAACAACTGTAAGCTTGTGAAGCACAAAGTCGCAATGGGTTCACCGATCCTGTTGATGTAGTCTACTCCCGCTGACACGACATGAGGCTTCAAGTCTGGGTACCAGTGCTCCTTGCCCTTGCGAGAGAATGTGAGCAAGGGAAGCAGCATGCAGAATGCAGCGCGCTTACATCGGGGTAGATCACTTTCACGTCTTCGCAGGAGAACGGTTCCTCGCAGTAGCCGGAGAACATGGACACCATGGTATCCAGCACGATCTTGGCACGCATCGGATCTGTCGCTGTGCATTCAATGAAGACGTTCTTCGTCTCCATGCTGATCTTGGAATGGTCTCCGTTGATGATAGGAGGGAGCGAGAGGACAGTGCGCTTGCTATCGTAGATGACTGGGTACACGGGAGAGTTCCTGATGATGTGCAGGTAGGCCTTGAGCTTCTGGTCCTTCTCATAGAACTCCATCAGCTCAGCTCCGTTCATCGTCTTCTCCTGGTTCAGGGGAGCGAAAACGATGTCGGTCGGAGGTAGTGCCTCGTAAGTGAAGGGCCCAGTGATGGTATCGAGGTCGTGGGTGCCGATGGCGACAAGAGTTCTCCTCCTGCAGATGTTCTCGTGGAGCTTGTCCTGCAGGTCGATGAAGGAGTTGTACCTCCTCGAGTCGAACTTGAGCCCTCGCAGCACACAACCAACAACGTACGGACGAATCTGGGCTGTTTGTGGAGAGACACGGATGACGTGCTCTTGACCCGGCGGCGGTCGGATGCTCCTGAAGTTGGGGGTCTCGATCTTCTTACGGAAGACATTGAGAGCAAGAGAAAGTCCTTCGAGGCAGAGCAGGTCGTATCTGTTCGCGCTGATGTCGATCTTGTAAACTACCTCAGTAGCATCAGTCTCAACCTTCTCGCTGGTCTTCTCCTTCCTCATCACCACGGCTTCAGAGGTGATGTCGTCGAGCTCGACCCCGAACTCGAAGCAGAGGTCCTCGAACCTCTTGTCGTCGTACGTCTCCCCCAGCGCAGCCATGAGCGCATCTCGTCCTACCGTCACTGTGGGCATGACGCATGCAAAAGCAGTTACAAAGCGTTACTAGGTAGCTTTGCGCGATTGTAACGAATTGAATAACGGTTCTGTATAGAGGGTGTAACCGTTGAGGCAATAACCAACGGCTATGCGGGACGGAGCGGGCGAGGGCAGAAGGGAACAAATGAAAGAGCGAGGAGGTGTAGCATGCAGAAGAGGGTATAGAGATGGTGGGAGGAAGGAAGGGAGAGAAAGAGGAGGGGAGGGAGAGGAACGAAGAGCATTCAACGAATAGAACGGGGGAACGGTGTGAAACGAGAGGAGGTCGGGTACCCGTGAGCGGATGAATTCGCAAGGGAGAAGATTGCAGGATTGAGCGAGCATATCTATAGCATGGAATCACAGAGGATCTTGTGCACTCGTTGAACAGCGACCGCAACTTGACTGAGATATACCGCACAGAAAGATAAAGTTGGCTGGAATCTATGGCGAAACCCTGGGAAGAACTTCACATACAGGTATTGGAAGCAAGTGTTGCTGGCGATCATAACACTCTGTAGATTGAATCTGACAAAGAGTACAACGACGCCATCTCGTACAAGGGGTTGACTTGTGCGTGAGACGATATCTACCATTGCTATCTCATAGGTGCACCAGGTCTAGAAGTTCACGCAGGGTGGTGTGGGCCGTGCACAGCAGCTGTGAGTGAACGAGATGCTGTGTGCATTGAGTTGATGTCGAAGTGAAGATTCCAACGCTCAAGAAACTGCATTGGGACATGGTGGAGGAGAAGAGGTAGTAAGGGAGTGAGAATTAAGTGCTTTTAGCTCATCTGGAGTCTGCAGTGCAGCTGTTCAGTTTGTCGTGGCGAATTCGGACAACATCCAAGCTTTACAAGTTGTGATTGTGTGAACATCCTCGACAAGGCTGACTGGGTTGTAAGGAATTTAAGGAACGATCAAAACCTCTCTTCATGATGTTTAGGAAAGGACAGAAGGTGACGATTGACATGCTTTGGGAAGCTTTTGACTGATCAAGAAACAGCTCACGACAATAGAAGGAGTGAACACTTACGCTCTGAGGGTAAAACGTTTGCTACATGTTCAGGTATTCAATGCATTCATTTATACTGACAATTGGTTTTTTCAAAGCAATTTGTGGAGGAGAATGCTCCGTCTAAATCCGACATTGCATCTGAAGAGTGACGCCCTTGGCCTCGTGTCATCTTACAGCAGGTTCTTTGTCTTGGAGTTGGATAGATATGGCCGGTAAACGTACTCGTTCTGTGCTTCCGTCTGCGAACAGATGGTGAGAGGATGCCATGAGAGCGGCAGGAGGGTCGAACCTGTTCCAACGTCCCTAACCGGATCTGAAACAACCTCATCTCAAACCTCGGCCCGAGCTCCTTCAACTCGACCTGCTCGGTTCATCAACACTAGCCGAGACTCTTCGGGCTCACCTCCTTGTGACTTGTCTTCTCGTACATGTGATGCCGGAAAGAGATGAAATCTTGTCCTTACATCAGAATAGATGATGATCGGCACTTCGAATGTCTCACCGTTACGGTTTGCAAAGGTTACCACTCGTTTGTTCTCATCCTTTGGCACGGGAAAGAGATGCTTCAGGATGTTCTGAAAGACCAAGTTACGGTTTCGCCGAGAAACAGGGCAACGAGGCCTACCTGGGTCCTGAGACCAAGTTTTGTAGTGAAGTTGTCAAAGATGAGATGGGGATAAGCCTGTAGAGTGCAAGACGTCAGCCAAACAGCCGTTTGATCTTTTCCGAGTCTGACGACTTGTGTATAGAAATCAACCAAAGCTTCCCCGACAGACACAAGACATCGGGTGCGGCACAAAAGTCGTGGGACCCATCAGATAGCTTAGAAGAAGGGGGATGAGAATCAGACCTCTGAGATAGTTTCCTTGATCTTCACGTCATGTCTCGTTACCACATTCATAAGACCGAAGAATGCCGTCGGGCCATGTGGCATGTGAGTGATTACCTGCCTTCATTCACGCCTTTCACACTCGCCTCCTCCCTTCTCACCAAACCGTCGGGCTCTCCTCGATGTTCGTGAACCAGCACCAAGTCTGTGACTTCGTTCTTCCTGCACGCATCTACAATCTGTCCGAAACGACATCACGCTTAAACAGAACTTCAGAACGCTATCCACCTCTTTGGTTGTATAATTTCCACGATTGATTCTTTGTGAGTTCGGAAACAACAAACAGACTTCCTTGGCAAACTTGACACTTTTGTAAACCTCTGGTCCAAAACAATTCAAGCACCATACCTGAACAAGTCTAGAGCTAGGATCGCGCGAAGTTGACACCTACAAGTAGCCATCAGACACCTCAAGTTTATCCTTCCGCCCTCACCATCACTCTCGGGTCAAACTCTCCCGCCCGACCATACTCGTCATCCATGGGATCCCAGGGAATCTAACCACCAGCATCAGCATCGAAGCTTAGAGGCTATCACAAGGCTGCACCTCGCTGCGCTCATCGTCGAGCTCTATCTGGTGCCTCAGCTCAGCTTCCTAATGCACGGTCAGTAACCAACCAGCCCATTCTTTCAACAGTGAGTGCAAGAAACATCTTCAAAAAAACTTGTGCGTCATAATCCATTCACCTCTGCTCGTAATTCTGTTGGAATGGGTTTGCCCGTCTCGATTGCCTTAACTACACGTCAGTCTAAGGAGAGAAAGATGAATCGGATTGACCTGCTTTAGCTTTTTCTTCTTATCATAGATCACTCGTTCATTCGTTTCAAGCTACAATAGTCTTCAACACAATGAAGGTATGATGTTCCATTTTTTCACCTGCTTGCGATAGAGATACTCCCTTCTCAGACGTACATTTCTTCGGGTTGCCATATCTGAAAGATCCTTCCTGCACATCAAATTTGCGTCACCTCGACCACTCTCCAATGGCTAGCCTTTTCCTTTCACAATTTTCCTTCTCCATTTATCCCTCCCTCTCCCCTCTCCCTCTCCCTCTCCCTCTCCCTCTCCCTCTCCCTCTCCCTCTCCCTCTCCCTCTCCCTCTCCCTCTCCCTCTCCCTCTCCCTCTCCCTCTCCCTCTCTCTCCCTCTACTCCGCATGATCAGGCTCAAAAAAGTCAATTAGCTAATTTTGATACAGCCAGTAAACCAACCAGGTACACGACTAGCCCCTCTCATTCTCATCCGATCTTCGTTGTCATCCGCCTCTTCCAGCATGTACAT